TGATAATTAGAAAACTGAAACATGATGTATGATAGGTACAAACAACATTTTTACATGTCGTTTGTGCAATTAGTGCCAATATCAAATCCATTGAATACTGGGGAGTCGAAGGGGTTTTGCTGATGAAAATTTCTATAATTACTGATAATAGTTATCATTTAAAAATTTTGTTCAGAAAAAAGGGAACAGAAATAAAAGGTAAAATAATTCCAAATGAGACATGAGATGAGATAGCCTCAAAATATCTATGACATGAGATAGTTTTACTACAGCACTGAAGTCTCAGATTAATCCAAGAAGCCAAAATTATGCATAAGTACAAAGCTACCCACCATTCTATCCAGGGTTCCAGATCATAAACTCTGTTTGAAGCCCAAAATAGAACGACATACAAGAGAAAAATAGCACCAAGGGATATATACGAGAACATGCGTAATAGCCCAAGCCGACCCTCAGTAAATATTGTCCTCTTTGGGCTTTCCTTTCGGGCTTTTCCTTCCAGGCTTTCGCTCAAGGTTTTAGAATGCGTCTGTTAGGGAGAGGTTTCCACACCCTTATAAAGAATATTTTGTTTCCCTCTCCAACCAATGTGGGCTCTCACAATCCACCCCTGGGGCCCAACATCCTCATTGGCACACTACCTAGTGTCTGGCTCTGATACCATTTTTAACAGCTCAAGCCCACCACTGGCATATACTATCCTCCTTGGGCTTTCCCTTCCGAGCTTCCCCTCAAGGTTTTAAAACGCGGCTGTTATGGAGAAGTTTCCACACCTTATAAAAAATGTTTTGTTCCCCTCTCCAACAAATGTGGGATTTCACAACATGTCTACCTTCAATGTGACAGCAAGAGCATAAAGTAACATTTTTTCTTGCCAACATGTTCAATATGTTAATTGACCTTACCACAGGTCAAAAAAAAATTTCTCTATTTTGAATGTTCTGATATTTTAACTTGAATCTAATCTAATTTCCATCATTATCAGTGGGTCTAACAAATCTTCCCTTCCCATTTTACTGTACGTGAGGGAGATATATATACCTAGTTTCATGGGACAGGTTCCATTATTTGTAAATGACGATTGATGACCTATACCTATTCAACAGGATTAAATACGAAGAACAAACAAAACAAACTCCATTAAATGATACTTACAATATGCATTCACAACCTTTTACTCATAGTTTGAAAATCTACCAAAATGCCTACCATGATCTTGTTAATTTCACCCATAATTAATTAAAAGCACCTGTATTCCAAAAAACTATTTCCACAAGACCCCCAACGTCAGAAAATCTTTTCACAATAAGATGCATGTGTTAGGACATATCATGAAACTACTCCGGCCCCATTTGATAACCATTTATTTTTTAGTAATCTATCTTTTGAGAATTAAACTTATAACCACTTCTTTCTCCCATGTACATCTTTGTTTTGTTATCTACTTTTAATACATTTCCAGTTTCTTAAAAAATAAAAATATTATAGAAACCATATGTTAGAATTCAAATGTCCACTTAAAAGGAATAAATGGAAAACAACATTGATTACCCCCGTATGCTATCCATTACGTTTTTGAAAATAGTGCTTGTTTACTCATAATTTCTTTACGGTTCTTATCATCTTTTCTAAGGAAACATTTGAGTTCATAACCATCTTTTTTTTATTAAAAAAAAAAGTTTCTAAAACTTTTTTTTAGTTTTCAAAATTTGACTTGGATTTCGAAAACATCCCTAAATAAGTAGACAACAAAACAAAGGAACCTACAGATTGAAGTAGTGTTTACAAGCTTAATTTTCAAAAACCAAAAATCAAATAGTTAGCATAAGCAAACGGAGCCTTAGTAATCTCAATTCTATTCACAATCAATGCATTGGACTCTTGACTGCAAATAAACACCGTTAATATTGATCCTTCCGAGAGACTCACAGCTATTCACAACGTAAACAAAAGCCAGCATACACGTCCAATCTAAAATGGGTACAAACCGGAAGCTGGCTCAGAAAACAACACATATATACTAAACTCTAAACCAACAATTTGATATCAAAAGCAAGCCGCCTCCCCTACAACGAACTTAGGCCCCATATCTCCCTAAAACCTGCCTAGACAATAAGCTGCCGTTTCGATGTAGCAAAATCTTGACGGGTCTGTAAGGAATTGAGAGAGGGGATAGTTACGATTTAAAGAACCCATTTGCTTGAAAGAACGGAAAACAAGCTCTCTAGTCGACTAAACCATCGAGTTCGGCAATTTCAAGGGCAAGAAAAATAATAAACAAAAACAGGAAGTTTCGAATTTATCCTCGTTGCCTCCACTTACTAACCAAACCCCATGGAAATAACGAGCTACAAAAGCATGGAGACCTAATTGGACCTAATTTCAAGCTTCATCAAATCAAATGCAAAGCAATACAAAATCCAATCCTAAGCCACAAAAATTCCCTCGAAATTTCAAAAATCAAAGAATACGCAGATGATAAAAAAAGAAAACAAAAGCGAAATTGAATCGAAAACGAGCAGAGTAATAAGAAGCTCACATTACTCCCTTTCCAGACTTGGTACACGCGCTTCGCCATGATGGCACGGAGTCCTCTCGAAGCTAAGCAGGAAGAGAGTCGAATATTTGGAACTTGTGGACGCTCATTTCATCGGCATTCAGACCGACCGAGGTAAAAAAGCCACAGGGGACGTTTCACCCCGATCAGTCACGGCGATTTATGGAGCAAACTGAAGCTCGGATTCGGGTTTTTGCGGCTAATGGCGATTTCTATTTCCAATTCTGAAAGGATTTGGCAAAGGAACGAAGAACAGGATTTACAGCGTCGCCCTCGTTCTCCCCAACTTGTGTGAAAAATCTTTCGCGAACGAATTGAAAAACTGAATTGAGCCTTCGGGAAAGGAAAACTCTCCTCGCTCTGCTCGTTCACACTCCAATTTGGTACTTTTTTGCTTCCCTCTCCCTATTTTCAATTTTCAACTTTTTCCAGCGAAATTACACATTTAGCCTTTTATACCACTCCTTTGACCAATGGCTATGGTTGGGTTTAATTTAATATTTGAATGTTAATTATTTTCCAAAAACAATTAATTTATTGCCTTATCGAATATGTTTTTTCTCAAAATAATAATAATAATAATAAAAAAATAGAGTTGACATCTAATACTACTTGTCACACTCGCATTTTTCTGAGCAGCGGACTTTGCAATTGTGCAACACTCACTCTTAACATCGAGTGAGTCAAGCCAACTTAGATTTCCGTCGCCTACAGCTGGGCAACGTATGCTCAAGCCTTTGACCTCGTTTCGATAAGAAAGTTTTAGAAAACCGAGGCAGAGAAATTTTTGAAGGCAAGTTTAAGAATAAGAATGATTTTTTTTTTTTTCTATGATGTTTTTTATGATAACATACCTATTTTTAATTACTAATAATGTTAGTATTTTGAACTATTTTGTGGTATATAAAATGATGATATAATGAGTTTTAAATCAGTCAAATCATGGACTACAAGTGAGTAAGTTATAAGTGAAACAAGATAGAGTATAAAAACAATTGACTTTAGCTGAGTTGACATCATGGACCAATCAAACTATTACACATTAACAAATTATTAGTTGTTTTAAAAATAAAATAATTATAATAATATTATATTTGAAAATATAAAATAAATAAATAATTTTAAATTTATATTTGAATATTATTATTTGAAAATCAAAGAAATTTAAACACACAGTTATTGACATTATTATTATTCTCGTAAAAATATTAAAATGGGTAAATTGGACAAATATTTCTAGATCTATTCAAGATTGTTATTTCCGTCTTTAGAATGGGATCTGCAATCAAATTAAAGTCATAAACCAAATATACAGCAAATCAAAATTGGAACGGGCTCAATTTGTCGAATTAGAAGCCTTTTTGTGCAGTTCCCTTCTGATCTCGATAAACTACTCATAATGAATTAGTAAGAGGTCATGTGACAGACTCCATTCACGACCGATCTAATTTTTATGTATAAATATAAATATATACAAAAACTAATTCGTTATATATTTATATTTATCGTTAATAATTTATAAATTTATTAAATAAACATAATTTCGTAGTAATAATAAAATTTGTTTTTATATTTTTTTAGTATAAATTATATTAAAAAAATAATAAAAAAAAAATTGGTTTGAAATAAAACAGGGTTAATATTTAGAGGATTTTTTTTTTTTTAAGATGGTATATGATCAATTCTAAATGGTAAATTCTGCCCTTGAATGTCGACAGAGGTTATCGACTTGTTCAAACATATTATTTATTAACATAAAACATGACAGGACTCCACAACACTTCACATTATACATTTGTATTACCTAAATTCATTTCAAGAAACCTATCAACATCAAGCTCGTACAAGTATTTCTTCCTGAAAATTCGTACGATGACTTATATGCCCTTTCGTTTAGAGTTACTACGTGTTAAAAAATACTGGATTTTCATCTTAGGTCCTAATTCACATATACATAAGGTTATAATTGAATTTATGATGAAAATCGAGCAAACAAGACTCAAACAAGTGAAATTGCAGAACATATTAATTGCCACGACTCTCTACCCTAAGCAACATTGACTTTTTAGATATCACGACACTCTTTTGATGCCACGACTCTCTACCCTATGCAACACTTCTAGATGTCACGACACTTTTTTGATAAAGGGTGTCATGTTGTTGTGCAAGCTGAATTATGCATGATTCATGTGTCATAATGTTCTTTCAATGAATTCATACTGAATGGTATAATTGTTAAATAAAAAACTACTAAATATTTTTAAATTTATAAAGATAATATATTTATAAAAAATGGGAAAAAAATATCGACCACCCAATTAAATTTTAATTAATTTAACCAATCATTTTCTTTTGCAATTGAATAAGGATATTTTAGTCATTTTGTATTAATAAAAAATATTCTGATTCTTCCCCTTTTCTTTTTTATTTTGTTCATTTTATTATTTTCTTAGACCCCGTATCATTCTCCTGCGCGCGCCAAGCCCCGTCGAATCCAGAATCCGCAAGGTTTGTCTCTGCTTGTTTGGAATGTTTACGCTATTTCTGTTCGGATCTTCAGCTGTATTTTGGGCCTGTAATGATCGAATCTCGGTTATAATTGATTATTATTTCAGTGTGATATTACGATTGTGTTCTGAGCTGCTGCACTTAACATTGACTGATTATACAGACTATTTTATCACGTTCACCAAAGTGAAAGTTGTAGTGAGAAATTTCTTGTACATTGTTTTGTTAGTTCCTCCTCGTTTGACAATGGATCTGAAACTTTAGGCTGCTGCAAGAGAAACTTGAAAGTTTAAGCAATTTTTCTTGTTTAGTCGTTTGAACAAGTGAAAGGGATAAAATTACTCCGAAATTTGGTTCCTAATTTTTCAGTTTCATTAATGAAGACTTCGTATTCGTGATCTGGTCGCAAGTTAAATTGCTAGTTTCATTTGTTTTTTCTTCCGTTGTCAATTCGCGTTACACCATCTGCTGTATTTACTTAGTAATTAGGTCTGGTTTATTCTGTCAGCTTGATTTTCTTCTATGATTTGTACAGTATTTATTTTTGTTTCATAATCTTGAAGGTTGTCAATGAAGATAGGTTTTGCCCCTTTCTGATGTGTCGTAGAAGTTCATATTTGTTAGGAATTAGGAAAATGTGAAATGTGCCTATGAATGGATAATGAAGGGAAATTTTAACTGCATTGAAATTTAATGACACGTTTTTTTTAGAAATCTTAAAGTGGAGTTTATTGCCTTGAAAGGGAATGGAATGAAGAGTTCGACTCATATATCATTCTGTATTTGGATTTAGATTGTGTTACGGGATTAACTCAATGCTTTGTGCAGGTATTCAATGCGGCAGATGAAGAACGCGGTCCTGGCAGAACATTGATGATTCCAGATTTTTAATCCCTCCATGGTTAGTTGACTCCCGATTCTGATTAGATGTTTTTTTTTAAGATGTTCTTTCTGAAAAGGGTTCTGGAATAACTCCATGATATCACCTTTGGCTGTGTGCAGCATTTTAAAAAGAATTCTCCCATCTATCCATCTAGTCTCAGCCACTGACTATCTCTCCATCAATCTTCGATCCCCAAACTATTACCAACATCACACAACATTTCTGAAATAAAGTTCCTCCTACTGATTGCTAACATCATGTGAAGAAACGTCTCTCCCTCCCTCCCCATGGTCTCCCCCGTCCCAATATTGCTTTGCTAAAAACATATTCTACTTTCCTTCTGGATGACATTGTACAACTGCCACTTCATTAGTTTTCTTTTCTTTCCATCACCTTGCCCCATACAGCCCCCTCTGTGGTTACCAATACTTCCTTCTCCCATACTTTTTGCTGTCTCGTCCGATCTTCTTGGTTCCTGATGGAGTTAAATCTAGGATGCAACTAATTCAACTTTTGCCTGTCAAGACTCCAGTAATTGATTAACTCTAGGTGCTTCACCCACATTACCTGATTTGAATGGAAATTTGCCAAACTGATATTGTCTCAAGAAGTACTAGACCATCATTAGATGCTATCCATTTTTCTTCATTGTTGATCATAAAATTTAGTTTTTTTATTAGCTTTAAGACATGAAATCTATCTGATGATGATTGGGTTGGATCTTTTCTAATTCGACTGAATAGAAGAGCTTTTTATTTATTTATTAAATTTTTTTCTCTGCTTTCATCTTTAAACGATTAAGTTATTCAAACTAGACTGTCACCCTCTGGCTTTTCTGAAAATCTCAACAATTGACCATCATAATCCAAAGTAAGCCACCTTCTTAGTCCTACTCAACCTTACATATGAATTTTCTTAGTTGACTCAATCTTAGTAGCTAATGAGATTTCTGATAGGAAGAAAATTATTAATTCAATCTTAGTAGCTATTGAAGCTGTGGAATTTGGAAAATGAACAGTTGGATAAACCTCACAATTATAAGAAATCATGACTTCGTTGACTAGAAGTTTTTGGAGGATGTATTGAAGCAAAATGAATTTAATCCTCTATGTATTAGATGGATCATGGGGTGCATAAGAGGAAATAATTTCTATATTTTCTGATATAGTAGGCTGGGACAAATTGTAGTTACTCAAAGGCTTAGGCAGGGTAATCAATGTGTTATGTAGATTGATAAATGAAAGAACACGGGTAGATTCAATGGTAGTTTTTCTTTTTCTTCTTTCTATTAGGGAGAAATGGAGTCCATACTCTATAATCTATTGATGGTACATTCCTTTTTGTAGAAACAGGCTAATTGGTGGCGAGAGGGTAAATTATATGGCATTTATGGTAGGTTAAGTTGCATAGGTGGTGAATATCTTATGAGGTAGGTTGAAATGCTTTTTGGCACTAATCCTATAAGGGAGGAGTTACTGAACCAGTTGAAGAGACGATATTGGGGAGATTAGCATGATGTAAGAACTCATTGAATTCTAAAAGTTGCATATTAGCCCCGATACAATTGATTATGTAGGCCTTTTTGACATACATCTTATTTGTTTACTGTACTCCGAGGTCGTGAAAATAAATAAGTAGTTTCGTCAACAGTCTGTTCTTTAGTTTATAGCTTCTCTTGTATAAAGGTGTAAACTTCTGGAAGATGGATTGCTGTTAGACACTCTGGAATGTATATATACCACACTGTCCTTGATCTCAGTAAAATTTGCCTTCTAGATGAACCTTTCATTGAGATTTTTTGGTCACCTTTTCCTGTGAATATTTCATGGAAATGAGGCATTAATTGATGTATTGATTTATCTATCTTCTGATTTGGAACTTTACAAGAAAGTTAGTAACAGTGTTATTGTGTTTGAAGGATCAACATATTGAAGGGCTGCCACATTACAAAGATATCAAACAAAATGAATTCTGTTATCGAAAGTAAGATATTTTAATCATTTTCACCATCTCCTTCTTTTCAGTATGTTATATATTTCAATGAATGTTTTCATAAGTTTTATTGCATAACAGAATGTGTGTTTTTTTTCTAAGTGGGATAAAGCAGCTTTAACCATCAACCACTTTTAATTTGACGATAAGACAACTCCTTTCTCATCCACCTCAAAGAATGAATTTCTTCAGTCTTCTAAAAATTTCTTTGAGTTATTCTTGTGGCTGAATGTCAACTTGTGTAAAACAAAGATTATGGATCTCCTCCAAATGTTAATGCAAAGGGCATCATTTTCTGGAATCCTGTTGTCAAACAAGCTTCAAAGTCAGAAAACATTGATTTTATCGGAATGTGGTAGATTGACCCTCATCCAAGCCTTTCTCTCAAACTTTCCTACTTCTTTTATGCCATCTTTTTATGTCGTTACTCCTTAGTGGCTTCCGATACAGGTAGATTTGAGTAATTTCTAATAGGTTAGGTAAGTCTCTCATCCAGTCAGTTGGAACAAGGTAAAGCGTCAATTTTTTCTGGTTGTTTGACTTTGGAAACCTCTATTTATACTCTCTTTTATTGAAGTGGCTTGGGAGGTTTGCCTTAACCCCAAGGTTTTCATTTTATGATGTGATCCAAACTTCAATTTGGGAAGATTGGGGGGAAATGAATCTTAGAATGGAGCTTTTGCAGAACTTTGGGATACCATAGATTTTGCTTCTTTATAGGGTACTATTTCCCCTTTTGTTATTGCATTTTTTTTTTTTTACTTAATGCCAATTAGATCACATGTTTGCAAGCTTCTCTGGTTTGGGTTTTCTGTTTTTCTTTTCATCTTTTCAATGGAATGCACTCGTTTCTTGTTAATACAAAAAGGGTTTTCCTGTGGAAAAGATGCTAAATACGGAGTTTCAAAGGGAGTCTGGTGAGTAACCTAGCTGCTATCAAATGCTCCATAGGTTCTTAGAAGGACATTTATTTTTTGGGTTCGAAATTGGAGTTTTGGGTGGTTAATGGTGATTACATGAGATGCTGGGTAGACGTTTTTAAAAGGAAATAAGTCTCTCTTTCAAGTTTCAAGAATCTCTGCAATTTCCAACTAGCAAAACTTCCTTATTAGTCAAATTTGGTTGGCAGCCTCCCCTTTGGATTATCCAATAGAAGCAACTTAATTGTCTTGGAGAATTAAGAATGAATATCTCTGAGGGTTTCTAAAAAAAAACCTAGTTTCTATCCACCACTAAATTGGTGTACTACATGTGCCATGCTAGTACCAAAAACCCTTGATGTCTTGGGGGTTCAGGCCTTGGGGTAGACGTCGGTGGCCCGGGGTATAAGAGCACAATACCAGCTCCCGGTTATCATACACACTCTCGAGCACACCCAAAAAAAGAAAAAAAAAGAAAAAAGACAAAGCTGAAGGCCATTGCTTCATCAACTATCCTTTGGCCTTTCAATTTAGGCCTAATTCCTTTTGCGGGTTGATTGCCTCACCTTGCAACGTTAAAAGCCTTCTCATCTTTGCCTTGGCAGTCTTCCTTTTCATTTTGAAGCTTGAAGCTTGTGACCAAATATGATAAGTATTTTTGTGATGGTAACCAAGCCCTTTTATGTGTACCTCAACTAATTTCAAGAGGACAGTCGTTTGACCCTAGAAACATCTAGTTAATAAATTCAGGGTTTAAATATATCAGCCACCATGGCGCTTGAATTCATACTCTAGAATCACGTTACTTTTTTCACTTGCCCTTGTGGCTATTAGGCCAATCAATGGTAGTTTAGTTTTCACAAGCCTTTAATTTAATTTAGTCCTGAACTTTCAAAATTACAAATTTAGTTCTTGAATTTTCAATTTTTTTAAAGTTCAAGGCTACTAGATACAAATTTGAAATTAGTTCTATTAGATACAAAATTCAAATTTATATCAAGTAGAATAATTAATTTTTTAAAAACTTAAATTCTCAAAGACCTATTAGATTCAAAATTGAAAGTTTATGGAACAACTAGATACTTATGAAAGTCGGAGACCAAATAAACACAAACCTCAAAGTTTTGAGGCTAAATTTGTAATTTAACCTTTAATTCTTATAGTTTATCATTATCTTTTTCGAATTGAAGTTTAGAAATATTTTTTTGTAACTCCCTCAGCTTGGTTTGAGGCTCTCCTCACCCCTCTTTGGTTATGTTGTCATTTTAAAGAAATAGTTTCTTGTATTACAAAAAAAGTTCTATTGGAAATTTTATGAATGTTTTTTTCTCCATAGACACAAGAAGCAGAAGGAGGAGGATATTGCCGTCTGTGTCTGCAAATTTGACGCTAACGATAACGATAGTGGTTGTGGGGAAGGGTGCTTGAATGTACTGACCAGCACAGAGTGTACTCCTGGATATTGTCCCGCTGGTGTTCATTGCAGAAATCAGGTAATCACGAGGCTACTTGATAACAGGTCTGTATAACAGATTTCATATACAGTAGTTATTTATTAATATTATTTTTAATTTATTGTCCAATCATTATACTATGAGGTACACTTTACTCGATGTGTGTGAATGAATTTGTGTTTGACTTATCTACTGATTTGCAATTAACATTCTTGTGGTGTTTCTCTCTTCTTTTGATTTCTTTAAAAATTTGTTCTACTATTCGTATGTGAAGTATAAATTCACGAGGCCTTCTGCTATGCTCTATAGTGAACTCTCTGTCAATCTGTATGTTGTTTACAAAATATGCAATATAACAGTTACTTGGGCCCGTTTGGCAACCAATTTATTTATTTTATTTTATTTTTGTTTTTAGAGTATAGGTATGTTTGACAACCTATTTTTTTAAACATAAAATTGAAAGTCGTTTTTTGAAATATATAAAGAAATGAGAAAACAGAAAAAAAAAAAAAAGGTATTTAAAAACTAGTTTTGGTTTTCAAATCAGGCTGACCGTGTGTGGTGGGGGTATGGGAGATATGCATGGTGAGTTGTGGCTTGTGACTTTGTAAGTGAATGTCTGTGTGGCCGTCTCTATCTTCAGCTTTTGTTTTGTTTATTTGTTTGTTTTTTCTTTTGAGTTCTTTTAATCTTTTAATATGTTAATTTAATTCTTTCCATGTATAATATATTATTTCGGGTTCAGAATTACATATTATTTTAAACTAAAAAAATAACAATATGTTATTTTGATTTCTTTTTTCTCAATAATATTGCTAAATATAGGTAATTTAAATCAACTTGTAAAATTCAATGACTAATTTGTTAAAAATTAGATTTTAGGGATGAAATCTTTAATTCAATGAAATATAGAAATCAAAAGTAATTTTTTAATTTATTTTAACATTATATCTTCATAGATTATGTTAAAACGCAGGTACTATCTTATTAGTTAGGCAACCTTTAAAAATAATAATTATTTTTTGAGTGCTTTATTTAAATGAAATGTTATTTTTCCAAGATAAAAGTAAAGGGTATTGTTTACATTATAAACAAATTTAACTAATACATTGTTTGTAATATATTTGACTTTTTTTTTGTAAATTTTATTGTGGGATTTGATGGTCATACTTTAGGACATTGTTTGGTTATTTGTCTTTTGCTTGATGTCACTAAAAAACATTTTTAATCTTTCCAATTGTTGTATATTATAAAAAAAATGGTAAGATATGATTTGGTTTTGTTATTGTACAAACAATATATAAACATAACATAAATAACAGACACTCCTCAGTTGTTATATTTTTATAAAACCAAAAACCAAAACACAATTATAAAAAAATTAATAATTTTTTTAACATTAAAAAGAAAACTAAAAGTACTTATCAAACAAATTTGGTTTCTATACATCATGTTATAAACTCATTTATTTTATCTTAAAAAATTAGAGTATGTATATTAAATATATTATAAATTATACGATATTGTAAAGTAATAATGATGCGAATTATATAACATAAACATGGTTTTAAATTAGTTACCAACAGTTTAGAATCAACCTAATATTTAGTTGTTAACTAGAACTATTTTATGGTTTATAAATATATTATCCAATACATTTTGAACAATTGTAAATTAGGATCTAGATTCTAATCTGCTTCCAAATGCATATTGAAAACATGAAAAAACATGAAATGCCAATCTGTTTCTTATTGAATCTTTTGTTTTTAGAGTTATGTTTTCAGATCACTAACCATACGCCTTTATATAATCTAGTTTTACAATTGGTCTGTTATTGGAAGCATCTGTTTGTATGCGCCTGGAATGAGGATTAGAACGATGGTTTGGAGTCGTTACTTGTTTAGCTAAACTAAACTGTCCTTCAATTCCCAATATGTAACAGAGGTTTCAGAAATGTGAGTATGCAAGAACAAAATTGTTCAACACTGAAGGTCGTGGGTGGGGCCTTTTGGCGGATGAGAATATAAAGGTATTTACTTGACAAGGTAGATGTATTTGTTAAGTATCTCATTTATATTGTTGTATTTGTCATATGTCTCATTTGACGATTACTGTTCTTCAATATGGGATCAAATCTCTTTTATTTGTCCTTTTTATCTGCTGGTGCTTATACTTCGTTGATCCTTACAGCCACCTTGCTAATGTGATCAGATTGATGATTTCATCAGTGTTCTAAGGTGTAATTGATTTGAAAATTTTATTTTTAATATGATGTTGGAATATCTCCATTGGTTTTTGGGTATACAACCAAATGTTTGTATACTTTTCTTATAATAGTGATCAATTAATTTGGTTCCGAAGCAAGATGCAGTTGATGATTTTGAATAGTAACAGACTTGAGATGTAGCTTACGCACCAACTTGATTTTAGTATCAACTATGGCATCTTTGAGTCCTGTTATTATATTTACTCACCCAAATCTCATGTAGCATAATAAAAAATCATATTTGTTAAGATTGCTTGCTACAGAGGTATTCTTGTGCCAACAACAAAAGACTTAAATGAGGGAAGTTTAATTTTAAATTCATCTTTACTTGACTAACTAAATTGAACTTTCTTCTCTAAAGATTGTTTTCCGTTTCTTTTTGTTTCATGGGGACAACGTAGAGTGGACAATTTATTATTGAATATTGTGGGGAAGTTATATCTTGGAAGGAAGCAAAACGGAGATCCCACACTTATGAAAATCAGGGTAACAGATCAATTTTATCAAATTTCATCTCTTATGCGCAATATAGAAAATTTAGATAATTTTCTATACCTTGATGGTAGGACTAAAAGATGCTTACATCATCTCACTCAATGCCTCTGAATCAATTGATGCAACTAGGAAGGGAAGTCTTGCTAGATTTATAAATCATTCGTGGTGAGCTGTTTATCCTGAATATACCATATATTATATATACAATATATATATATATATATATATATATATATATATATACACACCAGGGGAAGAGTGAAAGTATGCCAGTAAACATAATTAACCTTTATTACTTTGTTGTTGTCGTTAATTAGTTATTACACCCTTGCAGCTGTCCAAACTGTGAGACAAGGAAGTGGAATGTGTTGGGTGAAATAAGGGTTGGAATATTTGCAAAGCAAGACATTTCCATTGGGACTGAATTGTCATATGATTATAATTTCGAATGGTATGGAGGTGCCAAGGTTCGCTGCCTCTGTGGTGCAAGCAGCTGTTCAGGATTCCTTGGAGCCAAGTCTCGTGGGTTCCTGGTAATTCTTTATTTGTGGAGTAGTTTTACTTTTAAAAATAGAGAACACAAGTTGGATATGATCATGGTTCCTGATGAGAGGGTGTAAATTCATCACAAATTGGATAACTGCAAACTTTTTTTTTTGTGGGTATTTTCTTACGTACATCAATCTGTTTTCCTTGTCAGGAGGATACCTATTTGTGGGAAGATGACGATGATAGGTAAAGTCTTGTTTATGGAAAATATCCAATATTTAAGGTTTGGGTACCAACAAACTGAGGGCCTTGGTGGAGTGAGAAAACTTCTCAGTCTAAAGCCAGGATGTAGTTAGATTTAGTACAAATGAAAATATTTAGAAAATGATTCAGTTATACCTGTTGATTAATTGCATGGATGGTTCAAGGATGTCTCTGAAAATGTTATGATTTGGGAAGCAATGCCCCAAAATTCTCTGGGCTTCATGTATGCATGGAATTAAAATTTGGGTGTTAACCGAATTATATTACGTTTTAAGAGTCGGGAAACCCGAGATGCTTAATAACTCGTGTAGGTGGCTCATGGCTGAAAGAACTCCTAACCAGATTACAATAACATTTGATTGCTATGCCAAATTATTGATAATGTTTAGTCCCAATTAGTCAACATAAAGTGATCGTATTATTAGCGCGGTTAATGACAATGCTTTCATGAACAGCAGTAGTATTAAATTTGTTGCATTGTTAGTATTCTTTAGTTTTCTATCACAGCTATTTGAAATTTATTATTCAGATATTTATATGGAGGCATTTTTGTTTTTTCATGCTCTTCTTGCTTATTTTCTAACAAGACAGCCATTTATCATCCTGCTTGGTTTTAGGTATTCTGTTGAGAAAATTCCACTGTACGATTCTGCAGAGGATGAGCCATTCGTTAAGCTCCACACTGTATTAAACAACCCATATTCTGAGTTTGAGGGTTATCTGAAAAATGAGAACCCAATGATCTTGGACGATAATTTGGGAGCTGAACAGCAGCTGGTATCCACTGCATTAATTGATACCTCGAAGAATTCAGTCCAATTACAAAATATAGTTGTGGGAGAAATTAAAAATGAAGCAAAAGAGGAGCCAGAAGACCATCCACAGAATACGCAGCAGACCTTTTCCCAGCAGAATGCAATGATATCTCGAATCCGAAGTAACACCGCATGCCGTAATTATCGCATTGGACCTGGACCTGCGGCCAAAAAACGAGCAAGAAACTTAACGAATGGAAGGACGAAAAATTTTACCCTGAAGCAAGTAGATGCAAAATATGTTGCTCGATTGTTAGAGTTGAAGGAAGCACAAGAAGAAGTCTTACAGTATGAGGTAATAAATGCGTTTTACTATAGTCTTGGTTGTGTAGCTGTGGATTGCTGATAAACTATCCTTTCATTTGGTGTCTTTACGAGAAAATACTTTGGTAGGCTTCAAAACCATTGCTCCGCTGATATGTTGTTAATTTTTTCATGAAGGAAACGAAGAATAAAGCTACCTCCGAACTTGATTTGTTGTACAATGAAATACGACCTGCCATTGAAGAATATGAGAGGGACAGCCAAGACAGTGTAGCTACCAGTGTTGCGGAAAAGTGGATAGAAGCAAGCTGTTTGAAACTGAAGGCGGAATTTGATCTGTATTCTTCTATAGTCAGAAATGTTGCTTGCACTCCTTTAAGGTCAGGTGTCTCTACTGAACCTCAACCTCTTGAAGTGGATGGCGACAACGACCTGAAATTATTAACTAATTAGTTTGCTTGTCTCATATTTAATTACTTTGGTAAACCATTTCTGTCGTTCATTGGTTGATGGTCGGGGCACGCTAGTTCTTATGGGAGCCAGCCTGCAGGGTCTGTGGAGCAAAGTGTACTCAGGTTTGAGGTAATCGAAGCCTTCAATTATGATCGTATTTTTCATGCTATTCTTTCAAGGATTATTGTCTCCTATCTGCAACCTAGTGCTGCACTTGTTTTAAATCGGAATCATTTGATCTGATAATTGTAAAAGTGGATTAGGAAAAAAGAAATGGGTTTAGATAGAAATGATAGTGAGAAGCGTTTGATTGAATTAAAAGGCATATTACTTGCATTGAAGTTAGAAAACATCAACCCTGTGGGTTCATCTGCTGTGTTTCATGTTAATTTGAGTTGCCCTTGATCATTTAAACTTTGAGTTAATTTAGTTTTTTCTTTATTAAATTTAAAGGCATTTTTCGTAGTTTAATGTTTTGGTGTTTTTTTTCTTCAATTTAGTCATTATTGATTAAAAAGTTTTAAATTAGTCTCTTGTATTTTTACTGTTTTCAATTTAGTCCCGTATATATATAGTTCTCATTTTTTAGTCCCCTGCTATTGATAAATGTTAGAATTGATTGACGATAAACTTAGAACTTGCATGACATAATACTTAGTATTCTTCCTAAGTATTGTACATTTAACATTATTGGCTACTTGAGAATAACACAGTTGGTCAAGGTGTTGTACCATTGATTAAAAAGAATTAGAGGTACAAATCCTTATTCCTACATGAACTAAAAAAAGTCTTTATCCATTGTAACATAAGGGACGAATTAAAAAAAATATCCAAAATTTAAAGACTAAAAATATGTATTGAGCCTCAATTTAATATAAAAGCTGATAAAGATTTTAGTTCCTTGAATTCTCCCCTTGAAAATCAAAATCATATTAATCATATTGATTGGTCTGATGGTCAATAATGGTCAACAAGGACTGTGAAAGTAGTAAAAGACCTCAATTGAATAAATTCAAGCCATGATGACAGTCTACCTAGAATTTCGAATCCTATATGTTTTCTTGACAACCATATATAATAAGAACAGACAATTATTTTGTCAAAATAGTTGAGTTAGTGCATAAACTAGCATAGAGACTGTAGTTATTTAAAAATAAACCTTCTCTTCGGGTGAAATCACTATTCATTCTAATAAGAATTAAGTTTAAAAAATGGTTAAAGTAACCAAATACAACACTTGAATTTCTGCATAATCTTGCCACAAAAATACTTCTAACTCAACCACTAGCTATGATTAGCCTCCCCACGAAGTCTCATCTTGCTATAGGGAAGTCTTTATCTATTGATGAATCTCCATAAAGACTTCAATTCAACTTCGAAGTCAAACAACCAAAACTAGCACCCACCCAAAATTGTCTCGCTATGATTGCCCAAAACAGCAATTTGGAGGTTTGAGATTTAAGTTAATAAACTAAAACTAAATACAATGAAAAAAAAAAAAAAAAAGAACAAAACAAAACAGAAGTTGTCTTGACAATTTGTTCTGGGATTTCATTTTTTCTATGTCGATTCTCCTGGAGTGGGATTATTATTCTAATTGATTCTTTTGTGTGTAATTTGTTTGGAACATTGATGTATGATTTCTGCACTCTATGACCTCCTTTCATAGGCTGCACACGGTCTTTTATTCATTCATTCCTGTGCTTCTGTGCTTCTGTGCTTCTGTTATATATTTTCTTTACTGCTTGAGATTTATGTGTCTTTCATCCATCAACTTTCAAAATTACAAATTTAGTTCACGAGTTTTTAAATTTTTTTAAATTCACTTATGTTCTACAATGCACAAAATTGAAAGTGCATCGACTTTTAAGACATTCATATTTTGCATTTGGTATATTCTATGCTCTTTAGTAGTATAAGTTTACCATTATTTTGAGAATTTGTGATATTTCTGTACCCGGAGTGATATGGAATACTCTGGAAAATCACAGAGCTTTCTACTCATTTATTATTGAAATGTGAACTACAAAATTATTTTATGTAAGAAATGAGACCCGTAAAGCAGGCAATGTTGCTGTTTCTACACGGTGGAAGTATGTGGAGTCTGGCTGACTAAATTTACTTCGAGTCTTTGTTTCTCCGTATTCACGGATTTGATTTGAAAAAGGAAATGCCGTGTGGGTCCTTCCGTTCATGATTTTATCTTTTGATGCAAATATCCTTCTGCTTTAAGCTTTTTCCACTAAAGAAAACCTTCATGGATAATTCTCCAAATTTATTATTATGCTTTTGATGCTAATTCATCACAGGTATCGGCTCTGGACTACAGGGAAATGCTTCTGTTCAACCCATCCATTTAAGGTACTTAAGTTGGAAAGATTCTCTGAGACCTTCAAGAGTTTTTTCTTATAATTATTTGGTGCTGTGCTGCTGAACCCTATATCACTCTTAATTGATATTAACCTTCTATCGTTCTTAAATGATATTAACGTAATTGATAATAAGTAGTATTGGAATTTTTGACGCATTATGCATAAGTTTCAATGCTTTTCTATTTTCTTTATGAAAATTACATAACGTGTAGGGTCGGGGTGGGGCTTGAATGTAGGAGCAGTAACTATTAACATCAAATAGTAATTATTTGTTCGAAATGTTATTGTTTATGAGTTTTAACAAATATATTTACTTCAGAGGGAAAAAACTATTGTTAAAGTCTGATATTTGACTGACATATGAGGAAGAACAGCATATTTCAGAATATTCATAGGATCTTAATTTTAATATTTGTTATTAATACTATTAGTCCACAGACATTCCCTTATAAAATCACATTACAAAATTTTCCTTTACTATATTTTTTTTTATATAGTAAAACTAAAGCCATATCCTTACCTAATATGGATTGGATTGTTCTTTTGTCTTTCTTTTAAGTTCACATTATGTCTCTCTTATAAGAAGGTTAGCTTTTTAATTTATTTATTCTTAAGAAAATATAATTTTGATTGCATTTTAGTTATGAACTTATACGTCACACTTGAATCAAATTTGAATTAAATTTGAATTGTTACTATTTTTTTTTTCCATTAAAAGTTTTAGTCAATGTGGCTTTTCCTAAGTTAAGAGTAATGCTTGAGTTAATTGAACCCATTTTTGAACTGTTCAAATGTTCTATTGAAAGCTGTATTATTATTATAATAATTCAATATAGATCTTTCATTATTCCGTTTGGATTAATAAATTATAGGATTGCGTTGTCAAACAAACTACTCTATTGGATGAGTGTTTTGGGCAAATTATGAAATTAATAATTATTGTATTTATGTGCTTATTATAACTTCAATTATTTGGGCCAATTTTTTTTTCTTTTTTCTCCACGGACAATTACTCCACTCAACAATATTTATATTATGTGGGAGAAAATTGAAAATCGTACAATAATATTTATATAATGTGAGGCTAGCAAGTAAAATAAAATAAACTTCGAAGAAAGATAGAATTTTAATAAAATCCTTTTTTTAAGGATAAAATTGATAGCTCGAGAATTTGTTCAAAAGAACCGGCGTTCTTAGGCACGCCTTCAAACTATCGTAAGATTTATTATTCTACCTAGATTTTAATATATACTAAATATATACATATATATACATATATATACATATAATATTCTTAATTAAAAAAGGGAATAGATGGGGCCCACCACAATAAATTGTCAGCTTGCGTTCTATAAATGTATTAGATGAACACATGCGGGCAGTGACTTAATGCAACAATTTTGACTTGGCCAAACTTTGATGATTGAAGAATACCAAGAGATCGCATTAAATAAAGACCAATAAAATATATTAATTTTATATAATATTTATTTGTAAAGTTTTGAAAGTCAGATAATTAAGGAGTTTTGACTGTTCGAAACACATAGTATTGAGTAGCGACCCCAGACGGCAATGGCAGATTCCTGGAAACCTCCTTGATCTTCACAGGCCGCCTTCCCTTTTCCTTTTCTTCTCCTCTCAATCTCTGATTCAGCCATTGAAATTCCTTCAACTATCTCTCTCAGATCGGAGCAGATCGGACCAGATCAGAGCAGGCCATGCAACCCACCCCAATCCTGATTTTCGCATCCATCGCCAGTTTCTCCGTCGCAACCCTATTCCTCTTCTGCGTCTTCTTACTCTTCCGAAAGCTCAAATCGAAGCATCGAACCCCCCGCCAACAGCAACATCGCAACCGCAATTTGGATCTCTCTTCCATCTCCGTCGATGAGAGCGCCTCCTTCGATCCTTCACTCAGAATCTCCATGGCCGAACTCCGAGCCGCTACCAAGAATTTCAGCAGCGATTTAATCGTCGGCGATGGCTCTTTCGGCCTCGTCTACAAGGCTCGCCTCTCCTCCGGCGCTACAGTTGCCATCAAGAAGCTCAATCCCGACGCCTTCCAAGGATTCCGAGAATTTCGAGCCGAGATGGAGACTCTCGGAAAACTCCGCCATCGAAACATCGTCAAAATGTTAGGATACTGTATTTCCGGCTCCGATAGGCTTTTGATCTACGAATTCATTGAGAGAGGAAGTCTGGATAATTGCTTGTACGAGACGTCGACTTCGGCGGAGGCCGATGAGGAGTCCGATGGATATTTGCCCTCGCGGCTACCATTGCCATGGGAGACCAGGCTGAAGATCATGAGGGGCGTTGCTAATGGGCTTTCGTACTTACATGGGCTTTCTCAGCCCATTATCCATAGAGATATTAAGGCCGGCAATGTCTTATTGGACTCCGAATTCGAGGCCCATATCGCGGATTTTGGGCTGGCCCGTATGATTGAGAGTTCTAATTCCCACGTGTCCACTCAGTTCGCCGGAACCATGGGCTACATGCCGCCGGAGTACAGGAACGGATTGACGGGAGCCACGTTGAAGGCTGACGTGTACAGTTTTGGGATTTTAATGTTCGAGGTTGCTATGGGCCGGAGGCCCAATTTACCTATGGTATTGGACGACAAAGAAGTGGGCTTAATAGAATGGGCTCGGATTTTAGTGGCCCAAAACAGACACATGGAAATGGTCGATGCTAGCATTTCGAGGGAGGAGCTTATGGAGGCCAATGTGAAGGAGTATTTTAGGATTGCTTGTTTGTGCACGAGTGAGAGGTCCAAGGAAAGGCCTCCTATGTCTAATGTTGTCGAGTTTTTGGATCGAATTTGCGACGTGAAGTTGTGTGACGACGATGATGAGTATCAAACTAAGGTCAACGAGTAATTTTGGCAATAACCGCAACATCGTCATTCATGTGGGTGAGATGGGACAACATTTCAATTATAAGGAATGTAAATAGTGAGTTGAGCCAATTTTTTTCAAGTGGGTCCAAATGTAGAGTGAGGTTGCGGAGTTCTTAGTTATTTTATTCTCTTTTTATAGACCTAGTTGAGAGAAATTTGAATCTTTCAATTATATTCTTGAACTAACATAAACTTGGAATTGATGTGTTTTACTAGTCGTTTATATTGTTATGTATAATTGCTACCATGGAAGTTGTAAGCTTACTATTATTATTTTCTTTTCTTTCAAGCAAGTGCAACATTATTCAGACCCTTTACATTAGAGTCAATTCTTTGCACTGTTAACTGATATTTTCTTCTTTGGACCTTTTCTCGTACTTCTCCTAAACGTGTGAATTGTGAGATCTCACGAAAACTTCTTCTTAGCAAACACATTTTAAAACATTACGGGAAGCCCGAAAGAAAAAGTCCAAAGAAGACAATATCTGCTAGCGGTGGGATTGGGTCGACAATTTTGACCCCAAAAAATCCCACGCCCATCCATGAGGTGGTGGGGAAGCAAGGACTCAAATGAGTTCATTCGGGCAGGCAACTCAACTCAATACAACCATATATCGTCGAGTTGAATCCATTTAGCTATGGACGGTGCAAAACATGAAGAAAAACAAAACAGAAATGGTACTCCCCTAACCAACAAAATTTCCGAGCTCAAGTCATCTAGCTTAGAAATGAAAAACTGACGAGAGAACAAAAAAGAGTGATGGATAATTGACGATTGCAGCTGAGGCTTGAGAGAGAACGAAACAGAGGGATGCTGGTTGAGAGGAAAGATGGTTAAAGGCGACGATGAGACCATGGTAGAGGGCGACGATAAACAAGAGACAAGATGAGAAGTTGGAGAAGGACAAACAAATACAACGGTAAATGAGAGACATGTAGAGGAATTGTTTAGTTGCAAAAAGTAAAATCCTAACACGGTTCAGTTTGAGTTGAATCGTACATTCATTCTAAACTCAGTAAACCAATTCCAACCAAACTGATTAGTTCTTAAAAAAATGAACTCTACCCAACTCTTATGATTCAAGTTTGACTACTTTTAGGTGTGGAAATCTGAAGTTCAAATGGAACCATTCTGCTCCTCAAGATTCATCTGGCTTTTGGGAAAGCTCTAAGATTCATCTAAATTTCAAGCTGGGCTACTAGAGATGCAGGTTCATTCCATATGACTAAGAATGAATTGAGAAGGAAAGGAAGTCAAATGCTAAACAAAAAAGGAAACTCCGACTATAGAATAATATCAATCGATACCAATTATCGACAAAAACCGAAAGATGGGAAGAGGAGGGCAGGTCTATCCCTAGTTGAACAATGATGCAAAAGGAAGCAATGTACGTAACAAAAGTAAGAAGAAATCTATCATATTTTCGAGTTCTATTATATAACCTTCAATGAATGAAGGTACAGATCCCCAGTGAATTGCACAGACTCATAAGAGGAAGACTTTATATATATAACAGAGAAGAACAGTGAGTATTGGCAAGGAGCACACACTTATATGGCCATTAAGAGTATCAATTCATGAAGACTATCAGATGAATTACAAGAAGTAGATATATAAACTATAGCAATTGGAAAAATATAGAAACATGGACCTTGTATATGGTGTCATTCGAGGTCTACTATCCCAAAATTTGAGAGAAGGATCTTTACTTGATCAACAAAGTTTGAGCCAGTTGCATACTCTGTCAGCAATCCAACGGCAAACCCAAACATCGCCCACCTGTTTAGTGCAAATCAACCCAGTAAGAGTAGTGATGATCCACCCATAACCAGTAAATTGAACAGCTGATTTCTACTAGAAGCTATGAGTTTCAGTAAATTATGGAACGAAGGTACCAAAAAGGACCAGTTTATCTCAATCCGATGCAAATCTTCAGGAGAAACATCAAAATCAAATAAACGCCATTCCCATTAAGAACAAAATCGATACACTGAATTGGAAAACGCTTGAAGTCTGAATAAAATCAGCACAAAACACAGTGATATGGTTTTTCAAACAGAGGAAGTGTTGCAAACGAATCTGTATTGGAAGTGGATTGGTTATCCATAAAGATCAAGTAAAGAAATGGAGTTTAGGCACTTGAACATAATCAAAACTTGCAGCAAACCATAAGGTTACGAAGAGATCCTTAGGGATTGTATCCCTCAAAGAAAATTGAAAGAGAAGAGCCAATCCAAATATCAACAAGAGAATGAGTGAAATCGCAGGCAATTGTTGGCAGGATCTATTGTTAATTTAATTGCAAAAGAATATCATAACAGCCAGCAAGAACAAATGAGATTATATCACTTCAAAATTTAGTAATCACGATAGAAACGGAGGAGAAAAAGTGGAAACTAAATCGACCTTCCATTGGAAATTTCATTTTTCCCGATGAAGCCAAAGAACGGTCCCTGATCATCCTCATCAAGCTTCTTCTGCTTAAAGTACTCCTGAAGCTCCTTAGCCTTCTGTCTCTGGAACTCCAATGTGATCACATTATCCAGTTTCGCAGCATACGCCGGCGACGGAGGCGTTTGCGATGAAGGAGGAGTCGGCTTGAGAGGAGGCGTCGGCGAAGGTGGCGACGGCGGCGATGGCTCTCTCAGAGAAGGAGCCGCCGGTCTCCGAAGAGGGCCTTCGGTCTGGGAACTCCTAATGGTAAAGACGAAAGGCTTGGAGGAAGAGAATCTGATGGAACTGTGAGCCGACGATGAAGAAGCGGAAGAGGTGGCTGACGCCGACGGAGAAGCGGTGGCCGGCGACGAGGAAGCGGCCGGGATTTTGATCTTGGCGAAGGGGATTGAACAGGCCCCCGACATTTCTGTTCTCTCAGAAATTTCTGTTTCAGATTGTTGAGGAACTGAAATGGAATCAGAATTGGGGAATTGAAGCCAAAGATTGATTGCTTGTGGATTTTTGGAAGAAATGGATTAGGGATATGTTTGGTGTGGATAAGATGTCGCCAAGTTTCAGTAAAATACAAGCCATTGAGGATCTTAGAGAATGAAGAAACAAAGTTGATGGCTGATCCATCGATTTTCAACCATGCGATTGCTTTCTTCTTTTTTTTTTTTTTAAATAATATTTTGGTACCTCTCATCTAAAGTTCCATTTCATGTTTTTTCAGTGTACTTTTTGGTTTATCCAAATTTTTTTCATTATATTATAATAAATCTTTAATATATATATATATATATATATATATAACCGAGCTAATTTTTGTCTGATTATAATAAATTTTTAGTCCGTTAACATGTCTGGAATAATTTTATGTGTAATAATTTAAATATGCCTTTTAAAATGTGTGGTACATTATTTTAATTTTAAATTTTATATCCTATATTCAAAATTTTAAAAATTAAATTATGTATTAAATTAAAAAAAAACTAAATTTTATTTAGAGATAAAATTTTAAATTTAAAATTGTATAAAACACTTATTATCAAATATTTATTTGGCAAAAAAATTAAATTTTTAAATATTTATTAGACAGGATAGGAATTAAATATACACCCATCCAAATCTAGGTAGAACCCCTACTCCTATGTTGCTTTAAATTTGTTTTGACTTATTTTAAAAAAAATAATGTTATCTCTTTCAACATAACAATTCCGTAATGAACCGACTTCAGTTAATTCCGTAAACCTTTCTAATAGATAGAGCATTAGCTCATCCGATCTTAATTTAGTATTAATTAGAACGACAAAAGTCTCTAATTCATTTTTCAATCCTATAATTATAGAGCTAAAAAACGAGTAACGAGGAATGGAACAGACTTGAATCTAAGATAAACCACAAGATAGCATTGAATCAAGAAACAGAGTTCAATATGGCAAATAGTCACTGCACATCATTAATTTTATCTTAATATCAATCAAAGCCCTTAATCTAATCAAAAGCTTCCTTCTAAATACACTCAATAGTAATGAAATACCCCAAAAAATTGTTCATACAGGGAGAAAAAACCACGAAATGAACGGAGTAATAGAGACAAAGAACTAAGGAACAATACAGTGAAAAAGCAACAAAAAGTGCTTAAAAGTGGAAGCCATCCATGTGAAAAGAAAATTAGAAAAGAAAAACTTACTGAAATCAGCACTACCACGGATAAGATATCACCATGAAAACTTCATGGATGGTTCCTGCTTGTCTAGACAGCTTCCTCTGTCTCGGAAAATTCTCGAGCAAACAAGTTTGATTCGATTCAAGTCAGCAGATCTTTGAGAATCTTGTGCAAACGTCATCGATGGTAAAACTGGGTTTTGAGTGAATTACATGATAGTGCACAAACACCTTGTTTTCCCAATATCATTTTCATCATCAGATGCATTTATTTCACTGCATTTGGAGATGAACAAACTTAAGATAGGATGTAATGCCAATTCTCATCAGTAAAATCTAAGCAACAGGGTTATGTTTTAGTCATTTATTAGGCTAAGTGTACCATCAAGACTTGTACTTAATAACTAAATGCACATTAATGTCAATGAAGATTTGAAATTTTCCATTGTTCAAAAGGGATGATGTGATGAACATTGAAGAACACATGAAACATGAACCTATATGCGAACACATGAAACATGAACCTATATGCAAGCTTCAAAACAAAAGATATGCTTTTTCAATGAATTCGAGTTAAAATTTTTGAAGTTTTCATACCTTGGTTCAAATTCTTTGACTTCAGCAAGCTCGCTTCCACAAGTATCAGTCCACTGTACTTTCCTTCTTTCTACATGACTAGAATCATAACTACCCTTTTCTCCCAATGCTTCATTTCCATCAGCATTCTGTACGGAAACTGCAGGAACGTCTGATGCCTTTTTCAAGCTACTTTTAAGCACCATTTTTCTTGCAAGATAATCGTCATTTGAACTAGGAACATGATCCTTGCCATTATCGGAAAGAGGAGATGTTCTTGAACTGTCTTGGCGCTGTGTAGAGGCCGCTTTCTTCAAAGGAGATGGAATTGGCCCTGCAGGGTTCCACCGGAAGCAGCGAAGGGAGGGGGAGGCGCACCTCCAGGAAATCCACGTCTTTCTTGAAGCCAGCTGGTTGTTGAGGTCAGGCTCTCGGTCCACCAAGAACGGCAAAACTCTCATGGGATTATCTTCGCTCTTCTGACCCAAAAGAAGAAGGGTCAGGCTACTGCTATAACCAGAAGCTGAAGAAGAAAAGAACCCTCCCCCTTCTACTGCCAAGAACATCGGTTGAGCTCATCTGGGAACCCAAACAGAATTTTGACAAAAAGCTCTAAGAATATTATGAACACACCCTCTCATTCATCCATCTATAACTCAGAATCAGAATGGCCATCGTACCTATCACCATCGAAAGTGTTCCCCAGCTCGTATGATCCACCTCTGATGTTAAAATTTCTTTCTAATAATCTGTACCGGTTGGCTGTTGTTTAGAACAAAGTTAAAATGGTTCTAGTTTCATAAGGCATTCAAATACATGCTAAAAGCTTAAATCGGTGGTCGTTAAGCAACACAAACAACAAAATCCTACGGAGTTTGAACTTAAAATGAAAATGATTCACCATCGACATGCCCTTATCAGTCACAAATTACTTAAAAGTTATCGCTGAATAATGTGCCAAAAAGAATGAAGAGATAAAAGCCAGGATGTGCATTCAATGCATAGAAATTCTATGTCAGAATCGAGGAATGAAAACAGCAACAGATAAGATCATGATATGATAATAACATTCTTACGCGTTTTTAATGCAGAAAATTTTCTTCCTCTCCTACAAGTTATCCGAAATTGAAAACTGGAGGCTACGGCATGGAAATTTCAACATTCTATACAATTGAAATCTAAGAACTGCTAGATTACTTGGCTCAGCTAAGCTCTTGGATCCAGCGGCGATTTCACGCGGTAGAGAGAATTTACAAATTATCAACATTATTGAAACAAAAAACGGAACATATTCATTGCAGATACGAAGGGGGAAAACAAGAAAATAACAGACGAACTAACAAATAATTGGAGTAGATAAAATTAATTGGTGAAAGGGGAAATAAAGAGCTACCGGACCACATGGAAAGAATCTTCCGCCGTTATTCTAATCTTCACGAAACTCGATAAGATATAACTTTCTGCTTTTGTTCTGAAACGCTCAAACGCGTTCAAGAACTCCGATAACGAATTCAAATCTACAATCTCCTGCGCAAAAATTGAACAAAAATCAATAGTCAAATCGAACATCTCACTGGCCATAGCGCTCGGTTCACGAACTCTGAAATGCAGACAACTCGTATCGAAAAAAAACTTGGACAAGAACAATACAACCATTTCAGAAATCTGAAAATAACTTCCACTTGAGAAAACAATTATCAATTATCAAACAAATTCTAGCAAAATGAGGATTCACGTTCTCCGAAACGAACACAAATTCGAAGAACGATCTATTCGATTCGATTCCTCGTGTACACAAAAATGAGATCGAACGGAGAGGAAGAGAATTGTGGCTGTACCTGACTGCAGATTCGGACTACGTGCGACAGAGAATAGCAGTAGAGATAAAAATCGGCAGCGTTTCGGAAGTGAATCGGCGGCTCTGACGGTTTTTCTCCTGAAAATGGCAGTAGAGATAAAAATCGCCGAGTAATTGGGTGAGAGACGAGAATATTTTAAAGAATAGAAAAAAAAAAAGAAAAAAAAAAGTGTCAGAGCCGTCTCTGGCTTACATTATTTTCGGGAAGACAAAGATGGTTCGCTCTCAGGCGCATAATAGTGATGGGCCCCATCTATTATTTTTATATTTTAATTATCTTCCATTTATAATTATTATGTTTTTATCTTATAATCAAGCAATAAATTGTTTTTAGATGGACAGATAAAAGTGAGTGTGGGCCCAATCGTCATTTCGATGGCGATTTTAATTTTAAATTCTCTTTCCAATAAATGGAGACAAATTTTAATAATTTCTCGACAACAAATAGTCCAACTATTTAATACGGTCGCCTTATATTGTAAATATTTTTATTATTTTTTTAAACCAAAATATTTTTTTTCTTACTATAAACAAACCTTAAACCAATTAATTTTGGAAAGTAAATTCGATGGGTTCATTTAGTGAGAGGACAAAAAGGTAAAATGATATTTAGTTGAGATTTAAAAGAAATATAATATTTAATAACCATGTCACGACAAAAGTTATATTCCTAGAGTAATTATCTCAATTAATATATATATATATATATATATATATATATAAACTAATTTTTAATACAAAATTTATTACGCTTTGAAATTTATAAAGACCAACTATATATAAAAATAAATTTAAAATTAAAAAAAAAACGGTTAATGAATTTATTTTGCAAGAAGAAAAGAGGAATATTTTTATGTTTTTTTTATAAAAAAAACAGCAATAAATACAAAATTTATTCCTTGTTTGGCAATTAGAGGAATGAATGAAAGATTAAATTTATGCTGAGAATTGGTTTTTAGGCTTCAAAATTGCTTCTATTTAGGGAACACTCGTATGATTTTGAGCTAAAAATCATTGTAATTTTGCTTTTCATTAATTACATATTTGTCCTCCCTTTACTCTTTGTTTTAATCAATAATAATTAATGCTTACCATTCACTTTTAATACCAATTTCCAACTGTTTTTATTAGATATTTCTAAATTTTATAATTTAAACATACAAAATTAAAAATATTTAACTTATGTTAGAATTAGCTTTGATATTTTAATTTTAAAATTTTAGTTATTAATATAATATATGTTGCGGATGAATTATATTTTTTTAAATAATAATAAAAAATAACCAAACAACTCAACCCAACTCACACAGACACCAATAAACTTTCGGTAGTCTTTGCTTCAACCCCCAACTAATTATAATTTTGATCGGCAACTGTCTTGCCCACTCCGACACTCTTGACACACGTGCAAGTTCTTCGATCAACTTTCGAATTCATTTCTCTTGACGTTATTGTCTGACTAGACACACAAAGTGTGGCTCTGATACTAACTGTCTTGATCCTAC